GAGCACTATGATAGGCATAGAAATTCCTAACAACAATTTTACCAAGTCACTCTGCCATTTGCTCCTCATAACTTGTGCAGTTTGAAAGATTAAGTAAAAGCCCCCATCTCCATGATGACTTGTCAAAGTACCAAGGTTAGAACCAAGGTTGGATCAAGAACTTTTCAATTATACCAGCAATCCAGAGAACAGCAAGCCAGTGTGGACATATGAGAGCAAATACCTGTGAGATCTGTGATCAGAAGTGGAGGGAGCCTCAGTCCCTGTTCAGTTGCTTACCCACTGTATGACCTGAAGCGACTATTGCCAGGCTCAAATACACTCAAATATCTAAAGGTATTCCTGCTGATGCTGACTATAGTTGTAACAAACGAACTGGCTGGTTGAAACTCCACTCTCCTTCGTTGTAGCCTGCATCATCATCTCCCACCCACCGGAATTATCTTCCTGTGTTCCTGCTCTTGTTTCTTTTAATGATAGAGTGCTCTTCTCTGGTTATTAGCTGTGCTGACTGGAGTTTGGGAGAGAGAACAAGGTTGGAGGTCTGGGAGTCAATGGCAGAAATGGAGGTCAAAGCTGCAAGATATAGATGAGGTCACCCAGGCCAGCATATGGAGTGACAGATATCTACCTCCCAACCATGTGCAAAGGAAAGTGTGAGGGACAGGCCACTGCAGGGAATCTGGTAAGGGAACCCTGGGAAGAGCAGCCTCCCTAAGAGAGGTACTTCATTCTGTTCTCAGCCTGCACAGGATTTGCCACATCCTAGGTCTCTATTATATTCTGAACATGGCAGGAGCACTCCAAAAAGTTGGCTCCACAAATGGCATGTCATCACCCACCCCAAGACCTTAAAAATGTTTCTTTTCCATCTGTGTTGGCCAAACTCGCTTCTCTGACTACATGCAAGATTTGGCATTTGCCTCTTCTAATGCTGGTAGGTGTGAGAGCTCTGGCCTGCACTTCCTCTGTGTTAGGAGACCAAGAGGCACAAGGTGATTACATACTTCCTGACACATGGAGTCCACCAGAATCACTTACAAGTCTGTGCAGATGACAGAACAGCATTCTTCACAGTGCTGACCTGTTACCAACTGCTGTCACTGTGATGAGGTAGAACTGTGTGCACATGCGCCTAGCATGCCTGCCACACACCTACATGCTGCTCGGCAGCTCGCCCTCAAAGCTCTTAACAGCCTCCAGGGGAACCATGTTAAAACAGCGCAATTAACTAGAACTGCTACAAACTCAATAACTCACCTACCTAATGAGGCAATACAAAGGAAATTGGACCTATTTTAATAAGAATTTTAAAAAGAGCCTGGGAAGTAAAGGTCAGATGCCATTTTTTGGATCCCAGCTCTTTTCTTCTTCCCTCCTGTTCTGAAGTACTTAATACCAAGGAGACAACACACACTGTGCTATTCTTCACAGAGCCAGGGAGGCAGCCAGTCATGCTACTGCACCCAAGGGCAAATGATTTCTTTCCAACCCATCCCCCAAGCTAAGTGCCTCCCCTGATCTATTTCTGAAGGTTTTATTACGTAAACCTCAATGGATTTCAATTACTATAATTCTTTTCCTTCTTCACCGCAACTCACAAAAGAAAAACTAAATTACCTGCAATTCTAGGTTATAAGGTGGTTTTTGCTTTTCCCCTCCTCTCTGGAGTCACCTTAATCTAGCCAAGCTGCTTTCTCAATCCCTTGTGCTGGCTTTGGGACCACAGCTATTTAATGCCACCTCACTATCCAGAATGGCATGATTTCTGACATTCCCATCAAGGAGTTCTCCCATTTCCACATAGTTGCCATTCTTGCAGCCCTCACCATGACTTCTGTAAAGGATGGGATATGTGACTAAGGCCAGGCTGGGTAGAACTGAAGACAGTTTTGCTAAAGGAAAATATTAATGCTTCTCAAGGTGCTTATTTTACTTTGGGAGGAGGATTGGTCCCGGGACCAAAATCTGCTCAAGTCCCTTATATAAAACAGCACAGCCTATATGGGAACAACCTCTCACATACTTTAAATCACATCTAGGCCAGGCACCAGTGGCTCATGCCTGTAATCCTAGCTACCCAGGAGGCAGAGATCATCAGGAGGATTGCGGTTCCAAGCCAGCCAAGGCAAATAGTTTGCGAGACCCTATCTTGGAAAAAAAATAAATCACAAAAATAGGGCTGGTGGAGTGGCTCAACATGAAGGCCCTAACTTCAAACCCTAGTACTACAAAAATAAATAAACAAATAAATAAATCTGGGTTACTTATAATCCTAATGCAATATAAATAGTTGTTATACTGTATTGTTTAGGAAATAAGGCCAAAAAAGGGGAAAGTCTGCACATGTTCAGTACAGACACAATTCTTTTTTTCCTAAATATTTTCAATCTGCAGTTGGTTGAAGCCATGGATTGATGGGCAGAACACACTAATATAGTGGGCGATGGGCCAACTAACTACATGTCATCTCACTTGACTCTCACTAATACCCTATGTGACAGATTATAGCCTTGATATTTCATACATGGGCAAATGAGGCTAAGAAAATTGAGAAATTTGCCTGAGATCACAAATGATTGACAGTGGATCCATCTGTACTCACTAGGGATTTACTGTTCATCTACTCCATGCCACGCACCATGCTGGGTAACAGGACCAAGGTTAGAAGCCCACTGGTTACAGTCTCAGTGAGATGAGACAAAGTCCTAGAACTAAGAGTCCGCTGAACAGGGGCTCTGTCCTAGTGTAGGGGTGTATGATATGAGAGAGTAACATTCAAAGTTAGGACCTGAACGATAACTAAAAGGTGGCCATGCAGACAGACCAGAAAAAATCCCTGTGGCAAGAGCATAGGAGAAGCCTGGGGGCAAAAGTGATCAAACAATCCTAACACGGGCAAGCACTCTGGCTTGACCTACAAAATTGCTGCTCATGAGTCAGAAGGCCCAGCATATTGAGAGCAATGGAGAGCACAGGACTTTAACTAGGGGACAAGGCAGAACAAAAAGTTTGCAGAAGTGCCCTGGCCACTCCACCTCCATTCTCACCCTACCCCTCACAGCTCAAAGGCTGTCTGCAGTACAGTGGCTGGAGGATGGTAGGGGGCTTCCTTCTTCCCTGGGGTGCTGGTGTACTCAGGATGTAGAGCTCGTCCTCACCAGCCATTATAGCACACATGCCTTCTAGGAGCTGTCTTACCAAGCCATTGCCCTCACTAATACAATGTTATCAAATCCCTAATGCGGGCACTCTAAAGCAAATGTACTGTTACAGCACACCACTGGGCACATTTTTTAGAAGGAAAACAGCTGCTCACTGAATCTGTCACTTCCTTCTCTTCTCAGAACTATGCACAAAGAGCAAGAGCCAGTTCAGAGCTGTTTTCCTTCGCATGCTCTTCAAGCATGCTCAAAACACAGACCCAAATCTCTCAGTGGAAGCCAGCAGGTCGGCACAGTCTTGAGGAGTCTCCGGTTTATGGAGCTCCCTTGAACTAGGGCCTTGGTCTCAGATTCCAATGACACAGACATCAGAGCTTCTGGTTTGCTAGTCTTGTTCCCTAATTTTATAGACCAGGAAGAAAAATGAAGCCCAGGGAAGTTAAGCAAAGGATCTAGAGTCACATAGTTGGCTGGCGTGGAGCCATAGTTTGGTTTCTTTCTCAGCTGATTTCCTCATCTGCAAAAACAAGGATCACCATCTACTCCATAGGCCATAAGACCTAAATTAGAGAGTCAATGATGTAGCAGGGACAGAGCAGGTCTGCAGTGAATGGTGACTATTACCAAATTTTCTCTCTCACATCTCCAAGATCTGTCCCCTTTCCCATGGCCTCATTTTGCTGATCTCCACTGGGAAAGGTAAAAGGGCCAGCAGTGGGCTTAGCATGTTTACAGCCAGTGTTTGGTCACTATCTACTTTGAGTTCAACTTAAGTTTCTACTTGATCTCAGAACTCTAGTTCACAGTCTTTGTGCTGCCAGCATTTCTGCTGTGCTTGGAGAGGCGATCTGATCACAGAAGATGTCACTGGAGGTGATCTCTGAAGATAGGTCATTACCACCTTCCCTTCAGCTATTCCAAGGTGGAGGAAATGAAGCCAAGTTAACTTGAGAAGACATAGAAACCCTCAAATTTTTTTCTAGGAGGGTAAGAGAGGCAAAATATACGGCAGATACCTGTGCCTATTCTATCCATCACTGATGAAAAAAATCACCCAAACCCTGGAACAAATGTTGCTCTGACAAGATAACCAAAGGAGTTTACCCTACATCTCAGGTCTTCCTCTCTCTCACACACCACCTCTTTGCCCCTCCCTACTCTGCATGCACTTTAAAATAGCCATCCAACCATGTAAATTCCCTGATGCAAGTGTCAGCTAGCCTCCAGTGGAGCTGTCAATGCTCATAAATTCCCAGCCTTCCAGATTGCACTGAGGCTATTTATTGGAAGGAGGGACGCAGCAGGCCACTAGACAACAGCAGGAAGAGATTGGCCTAGCAGTAACTACTGAGGTTACGGCGTCGCAATTCATGGCAGCATTTTGCTGGGAGTGTGCACCTTCAGGGAGGAGAAACATAAAACGGGAAACCTGGGCTGTAAATAGTTTATTCCGGCAATTCCTGATGTTGGCTGAATCATACTTTAATACAGAAATACATGAAAGTACCACTCCGGAGGTGACATGGGTTGCCACCTCATTACTCTTTTCAAAAGGGTCTTCCATCAGAGAGACACTGCGTTACAAATTCCAGTGAAGAACAAAACCCTCACACAGACTTATTAACAGCCCAGAGGAAATGGAACCACTAGGATTTGAGCAAGCACAGAACAGGGCGAAGAAGGCAGGCCCTCAGTGACTTGGTTTCTCTGGGTTGCTCTGCCATACCGGGAAGTCAGAAGACAGAGAAGAAAAAGGAAACACTCTTCCTCTCCATCTTCCCCCATTTCCCACTTCTAATGCACCTAAATTAAGCTGACTCCTTTGTCGGTCCCTACCTTCATGTTCCTTCTCTGTGGTTCCCACTTTTTTGATCTTCCTGGGAGACTTCATGAAGAGGGGAAAGATGGTTCGTAAGCCAAGAATGTCCACAAATTTATGGCAATTGTCTGTGCCCTCAGGCCCAATCATAGCATGGTCCAGCACTTTTAGGGCACTGCTCCTAGAGATCTTCTTCTCCCTGTGAAGGAAAGAAGTTTCATGTAAGGCATTTCACAGGGAAGTTCTACTGTTTGTTTTTTTCTTTTAAAAACAAACAAGTTATTTACTGTGGCACTCATTGTAACGGAAAAAAATAATAAAAACAAAACAATTCAAATGCTCACAGTGAGAAAATGATTACATTATGATATCTCTAAATGGAATATTATACATGTGGCAATGATTAGGAGAGCCTATAACAGGATAAGTGAATTCCTATAGTCAGAATGATAAACACAAAGAGGTGGAGCACTTGCTTTGCAAGCATGAAGCCCTGAGTTCAAACCCCAGTCCTCCCCCACCTCCAAAAAAAAAGAATGATAAAAACAAAAGGTAATATTCAAAATTCCACACAAAGCATATGACAATTAGGTGGGGGAAAATGCATTAAATAAAGACTAGAAAGAAACAGATTAAAATGGTAGGATACATTTTTTTCAGGGGGTAGTGGGATTATAGATGATTTATTATTCCTTTTTTGTTCTTTTTAACAAGATTCTAATTTGCCTATTTAAAATGTACAACTAATGGGTCTTGGTATATTCACAGATATATGTAACCACTATCACAGTCAGTTATAGAACATTTTATTACCCTTTGAAGAAACCTTTTAGTTGTCACCCATCTACACTCACCAGCATCCTATCCCTAAGTGACCTTTGATCTATGTTCTGTCTGTACAGATTTGCCTATTACACACATTTCAAGTAAATGGTATTATATAGAATGTGGTCTCTTATGACCCCAATGTTATTAGTTCTTCATTCCTTTTTATGGTGGACTAGTTTGTTGTGTAGATATTCCATAATTTATTCAATTGCCTGGTTTTTTTTTTTTTTTTTGGTACTGGGGTTTGAACTCAAGGCTTCATGCTTGTTAGGTGGGCGCACTGCCACTTGAGTCATTCCACTAGCCCCTCAGTGATCTGTTGGTGGTCATTTGAGTAGCTTTGATCTTTTGCTGTTATAAATAATGTACTCAATTTGTTTGAGTACATGTATACCTAAGAGTGGAAACGCTCAGGTAATTGTTACTCTGCTTCACATTTTACATTCCCATCAGCAGTGTGTGTAAGGATTTGATTTCTCCATAATGTGGCAGCACTTTTCCGAGTTTTTGGTTCCAATTATCCCAGGGTGTATAAAATGGTATTTCATTGTGGTTTTGATTTGCATTTCTCTGATAATTAACGAAGTCAAGCACCTTTTCATATGCTTATTAGTGATTGCATATTTTCTTTGGAGAAATGTCCATTCAGACAGGATGTTCTATGAATCACAACTCCAGTCCACTTTGCTCTGGTTATTTTGAAGATGGGATCTTGTGAACTATATTCCCAGGCTGGCCTCAAACCTTGGTCCTCCCTTCCTCAAGTAGCTAGGATTACAAGCGTGAGCCACTGTACTGGGCTCCAAAGTTCATTCTTTCATATGGATATGCAGCTCAACCTTTCTCTCTCTCTTTTTTTGGGGTTGTGGTGGGGATTAAAACCAGGTTATCAAGCTTGCTGTATAAACTCTCTACCACTTTAGTCATGCTCCTGGCCCTTTTGTTTGTATTGTTTTTGAGACAGGATCTTGATAACTTTGCCCAGGCTGGCCTTCAACTCTCAATCCTCCTGCCTTTGCCTCCCAAGTACCTGGGATTATAGGTATGGACCTCCACAGCAGCCCAGTATCATTTGTTGAAGAGAGTAGTACTCTTTTCCCATTCAGTGGTCTTAGAACTCTTGTCAAGTATCAGCTGACCACAGATACTTGGTTTAGTTTCTGGATCCTTCAAAAACATTCCATTGATTTGTATGTCTATCCTTATGCCAGTTTCATACTGCCTTGATCACCACTGCTTTGTAAGTTTTGAAATTAGGAGTCCTCTACTTTTTTCTTTTTAAAGATTATTTGATTATTGCCTTATAATTCCAGGTTCATTTCAATTTCTAAAAAGGAAGTCAGCTAGGATTCAAATTGACATTGTGCTGAATCTGTAGATGTCTCTGGGGAGTATGCCATCTTAACAATATTAAGACTTCTGAACCCCTGAACATGGGATGTTTTATGCTTTTCCCATTTATTTGGATCTTCTTTAATTTCTCTCAACAATGTTTCAGAGGTGTCAGAGTGTAAAATTCATTCCTCTTTTGTTAAATTTATTCTTAGGTATTTTATTCTTGATGCTGCTGTGAATGAAATTGCTTTCTTAGTTTCATTTTTAAAATGTTCATTGCAAATTTGTAGAACTACAACTGATTTTTTATACATTGAGCTTATATCCTATGGACTTGCTGAACTTGTTTCTTAGTTTCAAGAGCTTTTTAATGAACTCCTTAGGATAAGATCATGTTACGATCACGTTACCTGCAAATAGAAAGAGTTGTGTTTCTTTCCAGACTGGATGTCCCTTATTTCACTTGCCCAACTGCCCTAGCTAGAACTCCCAGTACCATGCCAAAGAGAAAGTGACGATCTTAGGGGGAAAGTGTCCATTCTTTTACCATTAAATATGCTGTTCGCTGTGGAGTTTGGGGGCTGCAATATTTCTATAATGAAAGGGTATTGGATTGTGTCAAATGCTCTTCTGCATCATATTATTCCTTTTTCTACTTTTCAGTGACTTTCACTTTTCTGTAATGAACATGTACTCTTTAGAATTAGAAAAGTTAAACTGCTTTCAAGGAAAAAAGGCAACTTCCCCCTTGAAGCTGAAGGTCACAGAGTAATCCTGCCAGTGCTTCTGCTTTGCAGGTATTTCTCTAGGGAGTTGTTAGCCAGCTTTCTGTCCTTAGGACAAAATACCTAAGATAAACAATTATAAGGATGAAAGTTTATATTTTGGCTCATAGTTTCAGAGGTTTTAATTTATGGTCACTTGGACCCATTATTTTGGGTCCCTGTTGGCACAGTACATCATGGTGGCAGTGGAGTTGCTCAAATCATGGTGATCAGGAAGCAGAGAAAGAGGGAGGAGGGAGGGGGAGGAGAGAGGGAAGGGCGTGGGGGGAGAAAGAGAGACAGAGAGAGAGAGAGATAGAGAGAGATTGAGGAAAGGGCTAGGGTTCCTAAGTCTCCTTTTCAGTGCTCTAATTAACACCCACAGTGGCCTAATTTCTTTGCAATTTTCAAGGTCCTACCTAATAGCTAGAGACCAGGCCTTTAGCATGATGACTTTGGGGGACATTTAAGATACAAACCATAAGGAGTATAATTTTCTATAATCTTACATTATTTTCTTTAACACTCTATGAGGTCGAGAGGAGTAAGTCAGTCATTTCTTAACTTGGTACAGATGGTAAATCAACCAACCAAGCCAATACACAATGTTTACCGAGCACTTACTCAGCACTGTGGTAGACACAAGAGAAAACAAAAAGTAAGACATGGCTTCTGCTCTAAAAAATTTAAATCTATATGGAGAGACCAAATTAACGTGAAAAGTATTAAAGAAAAGTACAAGTTAGCATATACTTTTATCTATCACCATCTATTATTCAATTTATAAACATTCACTGGATACTTCTCCTGTGAAAGATGAAAGATTTCATGTAGCTTACATTCCAACTGTAGGAGATGAAGGAAAATTAAGATACCTGCTAATGCTGATAAGAAAAAAACAGGGTGCATTATGAATATTCCAACCTTTATTCTTACTGCTCTGATTAATAAAAACAATCCACTGATGCTCACAAATGACCTTCAGCTCGACTACTGAGCTTGAGAAAAGGAAACTGGCTACTGCTAAGCATATACCTTTGTGCAGCAAGCACTACACTAGCTGCTAGGAAGTGTAAGCAATTTAAGAACAAGTAAGTGAAAATTATTTATTTATTTAGTCTTTTCTTTTTTTGGTGCTGGGATCAAACCTAGGGCCTCGTGCATGCTAGGCAAGTGCTCTACCACTTTCAATGGGCTATCCCAGCCCATTGAGAAAACAATTTTAAAGCAATGGAAATGAAGTCTAAGAAGGCAAGAGGTGAAGATAAGAAGTTAAACTGGGAGAAGGCATGGAAGGTGGCAAATGGCTGGTGTGACAACTGCACCGAGTCTGAAAGATGAGTATTTGCCAGGGAGAGAGATGGCACTGTGACAGTGGTGGATACACAACATGTACAAAGGTACAAGAGGACTGTCCATGGTCCTACACATCAGTTGGAGGACTAGAGGTGGTTATGAATGGCCAGTACTGGGGGAGTAATGAGGACAAGTAGGCAAGAACACTGGCATGTCAGGCCCTGGATATGCGCCTGGGAACCTGGACTCATCATCCCATATTTATTGAGAAGGTATATTCTAAAATCTAGCCTAAAATGAGCACATTTTAGAAGGCTTAGCCTTGCAGCAGTGAGATGAACGACTAGAGTTGCAGAGCGTGGGGGCAGGGAGACAGTCAGAAGACCATAGCAACAGTGTAAGTGAGAAATGACAAAAGGTTCTGACTGTGGCAGCAGTATGAAAAAGGCATATTTGAGAGAAACAGGAAAACTTAAACTATCAAGAGATATTTTCCAAATCCAATGGGAAAAGACTTTTTGTCTCAAGATGGATTTCTAACAGTAAGCTAGACAAATAATATGTTTGTGTTTACTGCAGTTGTATCACAGCACTCTACTTTACAGGCTGGTTATGATGAGGGCAGATAATCAAGCAAGCAGAAATTAGGAAACTGAGCTATAATATCTTCATTGTTTAGCCACTCAGGCAAAGGCCTCTTGAAATGAATGATGGTCACAGAATGAGAACCTTCAGCATACATTGAAACCATTTCACAAATGACACAGAATTGTTTGAAATACTAAAGGCAAAGGACTCTGGCTTAGCCAAGTCTCTTTTTTCCTGCCTAAGCCAAGTCAAGAAACAAAAGACTTTAAAAGTAAAACTCTTCTTCAGGTAGGCAGTGTAAGACATGTTTAAAGGGGGCAGTAATTGCATATTGATCACCATTTAGGCAAGCTGCATGGAGGTGAACTTTGGAATATTCATTGGACTT